AGTGACTTTCCCCCCAATTTTCTTGCTGCAGCTGTTAAGTGTATCACTGCAGTTGTTAAGTTAGTAACGTGGTTGTCAAGTGAATCTGGCTTCCCCATGGACTTTGCTTGTCAGAAGGTTGCAAAAGGTGATCACATGACCCCGAAAACGACAATTGTCATAAATACATGCCAGTTGCCAAGCATCCTAATTTTGATCACATAACCACATGAATACTGCAATGGTTGTAAGTGTGAAAAATGGTCGTAAGCAGTGGTGGGATTCAGCCGGTTCACACCTATTCGGGAGAACCAGTTGTTAACTTTCTAAGCAGTTGGTAGAACCAGTTGTTGGAAGAAATCTGATATTTTCCCCCACTTTACAGGGCTAATCCTGTAAGGAAGGCAGGAAGGAAACATTCTGGTGTTGTTTCTAGACTCATTTTATTCCCTTTATTACAAAAACTGCCTCTCCTGTTAACCCTTATTACATTGTAACAGCTAAGGTGAAGCACCCATCAACGTGAATGACGTTGAGTTGGCCATGGCCACACAGTCACAGGACCACAAAGCCACACCTACCCAGCTAGTTATTAGGGCAGAGAACTGGTTGTTAAATTATTTGAATCCCACCACTGGTCGTAAGTCAGTATTATCTGTGTTGTTGTAACCTTGAATGGTCACTAAATAAACTGTTGTAAGTCAAGAACTATCTGTATAAATATGCTATTCTATAAGGCCCTTGCTGTCACATCTCCCTCTTCAGCTACTCCCATATGCCAGTTACTCAGCTCCCAAGCAACAGAGTTGGAGGTCCAGGTAGAAGTGGCTACTAAATTTAAACAGATGTGCAATATGGCAGAGCATGAAGAAGAGATGGACAGGTATGGATGAAAATCCATAGAATAACTGTGGACAAGCAAGGAGAAAGAGATGGAAAAGCAGGATTGACAACATTGATCCTACTTAGTGTTCTGACCCCCTCCTCCATCCAGTAACGAATGCCGAGACAAGCTTAACTGGAATGCACTTTATTAGCAAGAAACCAAAACTTCAGTGGCTGAAAACCAAGCACAACAAACAGATAAGGACCTTGGCAGCAACTCAGACTAGCCTTGGCAGCAATCCAGCCTGCCAAGCTAGTTACAAAAATTTTAGTCAATGCATTGACTTCTGCAAGAGGGGCGTGTGCACAAGCAGTCCTTTTATAGTCTGGAGTGGAGCCTAATGACCACCAGCTGAGTGCAATTACCTCCTGTAATTGTTTCTGACGCCTAGTAGCTCTTCGATGGCGTGCATCCAGGAACAACTCACTGCTGGCCTCATGCTCACACTCCCTTGTCTCCTCCCCACTGGTCCAAGGCTCAGGTGCTTCCTGGTGGCCACCCAGCCGCTCTGCGCCCTGCTTGGAGTCGAAACCCTGTCCAGGGTCTAAGCGCTATCGCTATTTGTGATATTAATTGTAAGTCAATCCAGAGTCATTTTGTGGAGCAAGACGGGCAACATATATACACTTAGTAAATAAATAGTGCTTCCAAAAAAGAAAAAATCTTGCAACTTACCCCAGGAGAGGTAAACTTATTGACCACGAAGGGCCCCAGATGGAAATTGCAGAGGCGAAGAAAAAGGTTGCATGNCCTAGTTACCTCTGCAAGAAAACAACCAAACTCAAAGAGCATGAAGTAAAACATTTAACATTGGATATATTAAAGGATATTTTTGAACAATGGAGCCAGAAGTTAATTTTAAGAGTGTCTGCCTCTATAATAGACTGTGTTTAAAAGATGTTGGAGACAAGGAACTACTTCTATCATAACAAGATTGAGACTGAAAGTAGATTTAAAAATAACAGGCTACTGGTATGACACAGAGAAAGATGTTACACTGGTTATAGAAAAGAAACCAGCTGATGTCTTAATAATTAAAAGGGATGTGTAAATAACAAATTAAAGCAGTGACCTGGATAATTTGCCTACAGTGAATTTATAAAAGAGGCTTGTTAAAGTTTTGAAAAAATTTGTGAAAAGGGACAAGACATAACAAAAAGAAATCAAGTGTTAGGATCTTATTTGAGGGGACTAAAGATCAGGATTTTTAAGAAAAAGAATGGAATATAAAGTTGATTTATTTGATCAAGGTTAAAATAGATGTGTTTTAACCTCTGGTAAGCCTTGGTGGACTTTTACCCTACATTAAAACTGAAATGATGAGGCTTTAATACTTTGTTTATAGACATGATGGGATAGAGGAATGGTAAGAAGATATTGTTGTATTTTAAGAGAAAGTGATCTTACTAAAATTGTTTGTTTCTTTTGATGAAGGGGAAGTAACTTCTTTATATATGACTTACTTTTTCTTTACTATTTCTTTCTCTTTTCTCTTTTCCTTTTCTACAACCTATTTTTCTTTTTTTCTTTTTTAGTTTGCATTTTTATTGTTGCATGTAACTTTTAATAAAATTACTCTTAAAAACAATCTTCTCCCATTCATTATTAAATCATTAATAATGATTTCAAAAAGATGGTACTGTCTCTGTAATACATTACTTTCTGAACAGACCAGTTATGTTGAAAATGTCTATTGCAAAAAATCTTTTATTTATATAGAGGACTCAAATAAATACTAAGGGCTTTATATTTTCACCACAGACATTCATAAACATTCCTACAGCGAAAATGTTTCTGCTCTTTTTGCTTGCTAGGCATTACAGGAAGTTGAGTCCCAAAGGCAAACTTTGAAATTAACTTCTAGAGTAATTAATACTTAAATGGTAGACAGCTCCATCTCTTGAGAGGACACTAAAGAGTATTGTTATAATCAATTCTACCATATTTTATTGAAGCAATAAATGGTTACATCATGTTTAAATCATAATGCTTCTCATATGCCCACAAAGAAGTAAATATGAAGCCTTATAAAATGGCTATCTTGTAATCTGCCAGGGATGAGTGACAGACCTCTCCTGTTTGCCCTTGATATAATATTGGAGTTGGTTTTACAGGGTCTTTTTTTTCTTCCTAGCATTTTCCCACAAGTGCAAGGCAGTGGTGGGTTCCAGATCCTGTTGCAACCGATATGGTGCAACGGGGCCTGGCGGCCACCACATAAATGCATGCAGCACGTGCGCACATGCACGCACTATGTGCATGTGTCCTTATCTCCTGCAATGCTCTGCAATGCCTCTGCAACGCCTCCGCAACACCTCCACGATGCTCCAGCTGTTCGATGGAGCATCACGCAGGCATTGTACATCATGCACGCATGCACAAATGGCCCGTTTCCTTCAAATACAGGTAAGGAATGAGAGCGGGTGGGTGGGCTTTCCGGACCACCATATCGGAATGGTACCCGGTGCTCCTGGCAGGCAACCCACCACTGGTGCAAGGTCTACTGTTTTGGGGATCAACTGAATGTTGATCCCTTGCATGCAACAGGAACTGAGCAATCAACTTGTCAAATGAATCTAATGTTCTGAGCTTAGAAAGAAGGATTCACCCAAAGTGACCCAACCAGCGTTCATGCCTAAAACAGGACTAGAATTCACAGTCTCCTGGTTTCTAATCTGGGATCTTAACCATTAGACTAAACTGCCTCTCTATTAATTTATCTTTATTTTTTTCCCCTTTACATCAGTGGTGTCAAACTCATGGNGTATGTATGTATGTATGTATGTATGTATGTATGTATGTATGTATGTATGTATGTATGAAGGAATGTAGGTGTCAACCTGCAAAATGACTTCATCTGAAGCCATTCTCTCTCATACTTAATCCAGTTTCATTTCTTGGTTGCCATTCATGGGGGGATGGGGGAATTTAGGAATGTGGTGCCTCAGCTGCTAGTCAAAACATCTACCAGCCGGCGTGTGAACCAAGGTGATGTCAACGGACACCTGTCAGAGCTGAGCGGAAACCTGTGACTTACTTGATTGGCCCATATGACCTAAAGGACACAGGGGAGTGGGGTGGGGAAATTTTAATCTTTTAACTATCCCCGAGCTCGGGAACTATTTAGAGCTAGCTTCATCTTTCTAAATGCTGATATGATGTACTCAATAAAGGGTTTCCTGAACCTGAGCAAACTGTCAAGAGATAATATATATCATCATCATCATCATCATCATCATCATCATCATCATCATCATCATCATCATCATCATCATCATCCATCACCATTTTAGCCATTGGCTATCCACTGCAGGATGAAGGCCTCTTGCACATGTTTCCAACTATTCAGTTCTGAGCTTTCTTTTGCCAATTGGGTCTGCAATACTTGCTGATGTTGTCAATCCATCTTGTTTTAGGTCTCTTTCATACACACTTTTTATCAAGTGGGATCCATTCTATCACTACCTTGGTCCACTTGCCATCAGTACTGTATATATTATGTACAGCATTATAAATAAATGTATTTATATATTATGTATTTGTTTATTTGTTTGTTGAATATGTTCTTTGTTTTCAATGCCATAGTCTATTTCTCTATTTAAATAAATCATAACAGCAGGCATGTTAACAGAGGTGGTATTCTGCAGGTTCGCCCTGGGTGAACCGATAACAGCTATGGGAGGCTCCGCCCACCCGCCATCATGGACACTCTGCATTTGCGCAGAAAGTTCTGCGCATGTGCAGAAGCGCCACTCATGAGCGAAGCACCCATGAATGTGCGTACTCTCCCATTTCCAAACTGGTAGCGAAGATAAGAGGAAACCATTACCGCTTCTGTTGTGACTGTGTTGGTCAAACAACTTAATTTGGATACTGTGGCAATATAGTATAGTTTCTTAGAACTGATGCACTGGCAGCATTTAACCTACATTGATACTATAAACGGGTATTAGCACCATTGACCTTAAATGTTCCTAATATTTGTGTTCCTCTTGTAAATTTACTATATTATCTGAACAGGAAATTAATTTTTAAAATCATGTCTTAATGCATGTTACTATGCAAAATTGCAGTAAGTTTAATATCAATCTTTATTGCTGTTCATTTAAAAATTCAATTAAAGCTAAATGTTTACCTTTGAAATGAGATACTCTGCCAGTTCACAGTGATCAAACAATGCAGCCCTAGCAGAAAAAAGGAACAGCAAACCAATGTCACAATGAGCACATAATAGTGAAATAAAGTTATATTTTGTCTCTAGTTTTTATCACTTGTGGTCTCCAATCATGACACAGTAAAAGCTCTTCCAAGTATAGAATATATGAACTTCCAACAGTGATGTTTTTTTCTTTATTGTTGTTCAGCGTGATAAATGAGTTTTTCATAATTACCATAACTGAAATCCATGAGCTGTGTAGCTGTGTAGACTTAATAGTAATACCAGTGTTCTAAGGATACCCAATTATTATTATGACTGGTTGCCCAGTTGGCCAGATGTTTAGACTGGATTTGCATCTTTATGCAGCCAGCCAGTCCTTCCCAAGGATCTGGGACAGGGAGATGCTATTTAATGGCATTAAAAGTGTAATTGCAGAATGTAAGCTGTTCCAAGTAAAGTTGCTTTTAGCAATTGACTGATGGTGATTTTGTCAATGCCAATGGTGCTCCAGATGTTTTGGAATTGCCCCCAAGGTGCTTATCATTATTGGTACTAACTTTGCTTTCTTTTGCCATAGTCATTCTACTTCTGTTTGCAAGTCTTTGTGTTTTGAGATTTTCCACAGTTCTTTTTCTTCTATTCTGTCATACAATTATTATTTGTTAAATCTGCAGCCTGCCTGATTCTCAAAAACACTGGACAGTTCATAACAATAAAAAAATAAAATACAACAAATCAATAAAAAATGGCAATGAAGTGAGACGTCTCACTCTTTCTTGCCAAAGGCCTATATCAGTGGTGTCAAACTTGTGGCCTGCGGGCTGCATGCATCACATGCTGACTATGCCCATTCCCATTTTAGTGAAAGAGAAAAAAGTGATGATATGTCACATGATGACGTAACAATGTGAGTTTGACACCCTTGGCCTAGATGATCAGTCCAGTGAAACTAGGCTATTGAAACCAATGCAAATAACTTCATATTGTGAAAAATTAGTGAGAAAATACCATATCATAAACAGTATAGGGAGTCTGGATAAAACCCTTACCTATGAAGCAATGTTTCCTTATTTCCATCTAATGCATTAATGATAGATTCCTCTCCTGTATAAGATGACATCATTAACTTGAGAATCTCAGTAGCTCCTTGAGTAGCAGCAAAATGAAGAGCTGTACAGTTGTCATTCTATTAGTGGAGATATAAACCAAAGAAAATTTACAATTAATCTCTGTACCAAATATTTCTGAAGTCTTATAAATTATATAGAATTCAGCATAATGGATGTCATCTAGATTCTTCCTTTTTGATTCTACTCAAATTCAGTTTATAGGCGACATTTCTTTCTTGCAAAATATTGCTCTTCATATCTTGCTGAATTACAATTCAAAAAGTTCCAGCCATCATGCAGGATACGTAGAGCTATAATTAAATATCTCTGCTCTCATGGAGAATAGAGTGTGTAGAGAAAAAAGAAACACTATTTCTGTCTATGAAAAAAGAAATATAACATAAATATTTTTCCTATTGCAGAAGCTGCCCAGACTTATTAAATTATGAAGACATAATTGGTATAACTAAACAAACAATAAAATATTGCAATGCATGAATTATGTGCAATATCAAATTCTTTCAATAGGATTTTACTGCATGTGTTTCTCACAATCAATGTAGTAAAATAAACATTAGTTTTATTAGATTTTACCTGTTTCAGATCAATCTGTGCTCCATATTCAATGCACATTTTAATCATTTCTAAGTCTCTGCTTTGGACTGCTAGATGAAGAGGGCTACATTTCCCATTATTAGTAAAATTAATATGATTTTCAGGTGAATACCCAAGTTCTTCACCTTAAAAATTAAAAAAAAACTATGATATAGTTTTATAAGAGAAGAATTAATTAACAAATTTACTGATTTTGTTATTCCTATTAAAATGTTTAATAATAAATATAATTTAATTAAATAAAAGTTTATTCAAATATTTGACAACTTCTGTTCATTTTACAAGATTTTATTCAGCCCACAAATCTTATCAAAACTTAAAGCATTCTAAAGTAAAGAATCCTGATGGAATTAAATGCTGTTTCGTTTATTTATTTTATTTTATTTTTATTTATTCAGTTTGTCAAACATGTACAAGATAACAGGTATAAGTATAAACATGCACATGAACAAGGAAATGAGTACAAATAGATGGGAGCAGTAGGACAGGGACGGTAGGCACACTGGTCAGTGACATGCGGTGAAGCTTATGGCTGGTGAGGCAAAAAGAAAGAAAGCGGCTTCCCCCCCTCCCACAGCAGCTATGTCCGAAATAGAGGCGTCCTGCACCCCGCAGGTATGTCCGACCCAGCTGCAGGGCGCGGGGCGCCTCTATGTCAGACAGAAGTGGCACTTTCTTTTGGCTTTTGCCCACCCCACAGGGCAAACACTTCCACCTTGCAGGCGCCGGAGCCACACGCCACCAGGAGTACGTCCCGCCCGCAGCAGAAGATTGCTGGGCGAGAGCAGTGGAGGCNCTCTCTCTCTCTCTCTCTCCCTCACTCCCTATCTCTCTATAAGATATGAGCCTGGTTTTAATTTGCAGATCCGTAAGAAAGAGTTTAAGAAACTTTAAGGCTATAATGGACCAAAGTAGCAAATTTAATAAAGGTCAAACAGAGTGTCTGGTTCACACAACACTCCGGGTCAACAAGGCAGAATTCTGGGCTCCAGTAACTTATGGTGACCAAACAATTGAACCACAATTAGCTTGATGGGATGGCTTGGTTGGTACAATATGCAAAGGCATATAGCTGACTCCCAATGATGTGAAATGCAAAACTCAATCCCATTTTAGCTGAAATGGAACATGTACAATTCCAGCTATGAAGCTAAGTTCTTTTCAAATAGAATAGAATAGAATAGAATTCTTTCTTGGCCAAGTATGATTGGACACACAAGGAATTTGTCTTTGGTGCATTTGCTTTCAGAGTACATAAAAGAAAAGATACATTAGTCACGAATCGTAAGGTGCAAGACTTAATGATAGTCATAGAATACAAATAAGCAATCAAATCATACTAGGAAACTATCAATATAAATGGTAAGGATACAAGCAACAAAGTTACAGTCATACAGTCATAAGTGGGAGGTGATGAGTGATAGGAACGATGAGAAGATTAATAGTAATGCAGACTTAATGAATAGTTTGACAGTGATGAGGGAATTATTTGTTTAGCAGAGTGATGGTATTCGGGAAAATCTGTCCTTGTGCAGTGCCCTATAGTGTCGTTTTGAGGGTAAGAGTTGAAACAATTTATGCCCAGGATGCGAGGGGTCTGTAAATATTTCTACAGCCCACTTTTTGACTCGTGTAGTATACAGGTCCTGGATGGAAGGCAGGTTGGTAGTAATTGTTTTTTCTGCTCTCTAATCAAAAATCAGCTCTCTAATACACACACTACTAATGCACAAATTATTGTGGTTAAATCACAGCCTTGACATGGAAGTCAGTTCCCAGTGTTGTGAAGATATATATTTCTTGCTAAACCATGATGAATTTCAAGACTTAAATTGGAGTTTCCCAAACTTGCCAACTTTAATATGTGTGGACTTCAATTCCCAGAATTCCTCAGTCAGCATGGAAGAATATAGCTTGGTGAAAGGTAGAGAATATACATAGAGTTGCCAGTTTATGAACTAACCCCAATGACCTAGTGGTTTCTTTAAACTGATAACTAACTGCCTGATTTATTGGAGACCATCAAGTTGCTGTTAACTCTTCAAAACCACATAGATTTTCTCCAGAATAGAATAGAGTTGGAAGGGACCTTGGAGGTCTTCTAATCCAACCCCCCTGCTTAGGCAGGAAATGCTACACCACTTCAGACAAATCGTTGTCCAACATCTTAAAAACTTCCCGTGTTGGAGCATTCACAACTTCTGGAGGCAAGCTGTTCCACTGATTAATTGTTCTAACTGTCAGGAAATTTCTCCTTAGTTCTAAGTTGCTTCTCTTGATTAGTTTCCACCATTGCTTCTTGTCCTGCCCTCATCATCCCGGCCTTTCAAGTCTCTAAATGATAATTTACTGAGTAATTTTGTGTCATA